GATAGATAGATAGATAGATAGATAGATAGATAGATAGATATGCGTGTATATTCCAGTCTCATTATATATGCCATAAAAGCCAGATCTATGAATATCTTAGTATCTCTCTTTCTCTTAATAAATATCGCTACCAAATATTTTTTCCTATGTTCGAGTTTCTTTTACAATGCATTTTTCAATGCATCGCTATACTAATTTTAGTGTGCACATTTGAAGGCCAAACACCCTCTCATTCATACTGTTTTCATTTGACAGTCTCAGCAGTCAGCCTCGAGCTGCGAGGCAATAGATATCAAGATACTTTCTTATTTGGCCTGGTTTATTTTTGTATCGCGTTGTTTTGTGTGGAGCTGGGAAAAGTGAACGTGGATGACTATAATGGCTTTGTGCTCTTGGAGACTATTGTATTGGGCATTAAGCATGTTAAGCAGCTGTTCCCCTGTCACCGTGCAGCTGCTATCAATGTTTTTAATTAAGCTCGCTCGAGTTCCTTAGAATTATCTGCCTGTTTGAGCCCGAATCATACTACTTGAGCTCATTTGTGGCCAAACAATTTATCTAAACTACTAAAAACAAGAGAAAATGGCCGATGAATCGAATTTATGATTTAGTAATGAAGATCATGACGATCAGAAAGCGAGGTTACATTGGATCTTTCTAACATCGTCAGTCATTTGCAGAGCGACAATATTAAGGCTGGACCTTCTCGCTTACCATTAACATTAATGAAATTTTCTTTTAACTTAACCTCAGTTTTGTATGGTAAGCCAATGTTATACGTAGTGTACTAAATGATACATGTTGGTCTTCTCGTTAAACTCCACGACCGTCGATTCGAATGATACTTTCATGAAAAAACACAACTACGACTATGTCGCTTATCGTTGGTGTACTCGCTACAAAGGTAAAAAATGGATTCTTTTCTTTTCTTTTTACACTCAGTTATTATCTGGAGTCGTAAAACAAATGTTTATCAATATATTCATCTTGTACTACAGCTTGTGGTGGTGTCTTTCTTGCTCCTCGCTACGAATGTGGTTAGCCAAGATACTTCACAAGATCAAGATAAAGGTAAACATCGAATAATTCTACTTATTTTTCACTTCATAATTTAACCGCGTTATTTCAACCATATAAAAAATAGAATGCGTAAAGCTATAAGGTTTTGGGTGTAAGAAGGAAGCGAGTGTGTGTTTGTGCGATTCTATACATATAGTTGTGATCTAGGTCACAGTCAAAAACTATGATTCCTTTCAGTCTCTTCTTCCGGCTTCCATGTTCAAGCGTGCGTGTGTATGTCAATGTGATTGATCTAAACTCTCTTCGTCTAACACATTTTGATTCATAACACGAAACCTTCATTTTTATTACTTTAAAAACCTCGTCTTTTTTGTTGAGAGGAAACATTTGGCGGTATACCGTGCATGTTGAATGACATGTTGAGGACTATTTTTGTTTGTGATATGGTATTTAAAGTACGTGCTTTAGCAATGTGATTTTAAAGGGCTCTTGGTGGCTTACTATTAAAACATCAAAAATCACTTCGAACTGATCTGACTTGGCTGAATGCGCGGCCTGTTGGACTGTGGGAGAAGAATGAAGATCTAGTCTAACATCAGTATCATTGGCAGTAAACCATTGTTAAATACTATAAGTGCGCAGATACCTCAACGCTAGTATATACTAAGAGACTACTAAAGAAATACTGTAGCTCTAAGTTCACTCAAGGTAATAAAAAATTTATTACCACAAGAATTGTTAACCATTGTTTTTGATCGATATTTTTTTTGCATTTGGAAAGTCGTTGGAACTAGGGGTGCTTTATTCATTGCTATGTTATTTGTCTTCCTTTAGAGGCATTTGGCTTTTATTCACATACGATTCGAAATTACTTTACAAGAATATTGAAAGCATTAAAAATATTCCTGTGCATTTTTTAAAGTTTCTGGTCGTTCTGTGATCTCTTGTCCGAGTGAGACACTGAAGACATCCGTCCCACATAGGAATAACTCTACTCAAGAAAAATATGTCTTGTACAAGCACTCGTGAAAAAGGACTTGTTAAATTCCTTATCTTATTAGCAGCGGCGTTTTTATTTATTTGTAGCTTGGTCGGAAGAACAAACAGCACCCATCATTAATGTTTAATGATGAAGTTTGAATTGGATATCTCTCGAAAAACAATTCATGGTGTTTATGTGTAGCCGCGGGAACATATCATTATCAGCAACCGTTTTCTGACCTATAATTAGAAAAGCAATGAGTTTTTAAGATTACTAGCACACATAACTTGAATGATTTGGTCGAAGCATTTATGATGGGAACTGAATAAGATAAGAATCGTCGATTAGCAGATTTAAAACAATGAATGAAAACTGTAGATGATAAATGCATGCCTAAAATGAAGAATATATTAACTGAATACAAAGAAAAAGAAAAAAAGGTATGGAACGAAAAGCTATAGAAATATATCAATAAAAATGGAATAGCTTAGTTTGCGGGTGGGGGCTTGCCATTAGTTAGTCTTTCTATTGCATTGTACTTAGCTAGGAAAGTCATATCTCAAGATGCGTCTAGTGGCTACCACGCATGTACGAGTGCACTACAACTGAATATATTATTGGAACATTTGCAGCTGATATACTCAGTAATGAAGTCGCGACACATTAAGGATTTTTAATGACTTACAACTTATAATGAACCCCATTGTACATTAGAATATTTACAATGGATCACCTTAAAGACTTATTCTCATTCTCGTCTTCACTTCATGGCCAATAATGAGATCCATTTGAAGTTTATCTATTTTACTAATTATTCACCAACATTTTTTCATATTTCAATTTCAGACGTTTTTATTCCTAAAGTTGGCGGACTGACGAATGCTATCGTCTGTCAAGGTACCAAATACGACTTAAGATGTGCCAACTCGTCCATGCTACTCGTTATCAACAGTGCTACGTACGGCAGAGAAGAGCTTGGAAAAATTATATGCCCTTACGACTCGAAGTTTGAGAAAGAAGACAAGGATGACAAGACTAAATGTAAAGAGGACGTCAAGCCAAAAGTCAAAGAACTTTGTCACAAAAGAAAGGCATGTCAACTCTCTGCCACAAAAGAAGTCTTTGGTAGCCCTTGTAAAGGAATTTATAAATATTTGTTGGTCATTTACGCCTGTGGTAAGTACGATTTAAAATCATCTTTTTATTATATGCATAATTGTTGAGATTAAATGAATGAAATAATGTGGGCCCCTTAATAATCAAAAAGCGATCCTCTCACCGACCGTGCATTATATTTGTGTAAATGCATGGGATAAGTGCTCTACAACGTACATTATATTTCTATATATGCATTCCATTTGATATTACCTTCTTTTGGTTTCTTCTTGTTTTCTCTGTTTTTTTCTTTCAGCAACTGAGGAAGAAATTGAACAATTCTTTCTATCTTCGAACACTACGGTTCACTCTTCGCCGTCTCTTGCACTCTATACCACTCCTCCTAGTAGAATATCTGAACAAACAACCTTCCCTCCTGGCGACAATGTTTCTCTGCCTTTTACAAAGGCTATTGTGGCGGATAGTAAGGAACTAAATCTCTCTCTCTCTATCTCTCACTTCTATGTGTTTTTTTATTCACTTAAAATTTTCACAATCCAAATGATCTTACTCGCCACAAAACCTACTGAATTAGACTGTGCATTGTTACAAACGCGACTAGTCTACCAGTGACTTGACCGATGACACTGATATGACCTTCGCCATACCCTTACCCACTCACAGCCAGTGGAACGTCGCAGACCTTTATCTAATGAAAAACTTCATGCTTGAATCTAGATGGCTTGCAGAAATTTTTGTTCTTTCTAAATACTTGCAAGGATTTTCTTTCTTCTTCTTCAAACTCTAAAGCTCATTTCACAGAGGTGCTTAACCTATATTCTACTTCCATTATTCCCAGTGAGGGGCTCTTACTTCCGTGAGGTTAAAATCCACACACATTTACTTACCACTAAATTTAATAATATACACTCAATCGTCCCCTTCACAGTTCCCGGCGCCATCTTGAAAGGTAGCCGTGCCTTTGCATCGATGCGAGACGAACGATGAGATATGGATATGCGAATAATATTGTCCAAGGTGTTAAAAAAAGTTCTCTCTCATTGCAAGTTCATCGTTCGTCTCGCTTCGATGCAAAGGCACGGCTACCTCACAAGATGGCGCAGAGAACTGTGAAGGTGACTATTGTAAAATCACTGATGGAATCAAAATATAGAACATAGAAGCAGAGAACGAATATGCAGCACTACATCCCTCTATCGTTTTTTCTGTTTGATGCTTTAAGGCTAAAAGGATCGGTTCTATCGTGAGTGATTGGGTTAGGGAAAGTTTTTCATGTTGAACTCATAAGCTTAGCAAAGTATTGTATTTTGATCATTCAGGTCTACCAGTCTATGTACCCAAGAACGTGACAACGGTGAACGTGACCAAGCCGCCCAACGTAACGCAAAGTAACACAACTGTACCACCAACTACATCAACGTATAATCGAACAATGCGACTGAATTCAAGYTGTACAACTAGCTATGCTATCACACCAGAACCCGTGACTAGTGTAGTACCTTTGTTACCATCAACTAGTACTGTAGCCAAGACTGTTAATGACGATAAACAGCGGTCCAGTACAAGTACTGTCTCATACCTCAATTATTCCACTACTATTATGGGACTGCAGTCAAGCGCTCCTTTTCGATTAAGTACAGCAGGAACATTATTAATATGGTTTCTACACTTTAGGGGTAAGATAGTTAATGCGCCTGCGCAAACAAACACACACTTCTGATTGGCTGAATTCGAAAATAATTATAAGAACGAAGATTATGATGATTTGGAATATTTCAACAGCGTTTTACAAAATATTTTTTTGCAATAACTACGTGATCGATGCCACGTGATTCGAGCTCCTCCAATAAGGTTAGTGCTTTTTAGCTTCGCGTGTTGACTGCGTTCCCAGAATCTTTTGCACACTTTACAAATATATCAAGTTCGTGAGATATTTGTAAAGCCTTCCAGCACTAAAACGCACAGAAACGCACGAAATGCACTGGTTAACTTGACGCATGGATACTAAGGTAACACTGAACACTGCACTCTATGTTATTATCACGAGTCAGATTACGTTAACAAATGAATACCACTGACCACAACTACTGTGGCCTCAAGGTCACGTGATCAAAGTGTCATTTGCGAACAAAATCTTCAATTATATATTCAACATATTCACGTAGTAGTTCCATCTTCATTGTTTTATTGATAAGCATGTTGCATGGTCCAGCACATCGTAATATCAATCAGTGCAGTCGAGTGATAGTTATCTTATTGATCTATAGATAACTCGTCGTCGTATATAGCAGTATTCGTGATTACATCTGTGTGTGCTGCTATCATCATCGGTGGTGTGTTTGCTAGGTGTTGGTACCTCCGAAGACGAACAAAGTCACAGAACTTCGCGGTTCTACACAAACCCAAGCGATTCTTTGATCCGCCTCCGCAGTTCAAGCAATCAAATGGTCATGTGAGCAGGCGTCCGTCACATGACATCAATATGAATGACGATTTGTTAGCAGACCGTTCGCTGACCAAGAGGTCTGACCTGGTGTTTACTAAAGCTGATATTGAGAGCACGCCACGACACAAACACCAGAATCAAGGGTTAGTATTGATGGTTTTCAATCATTCCCAAGAGAATAAAATAACAAAATACACGACAGCCATGTTGGATGACATAACAAAAGAAACTAATGAGGAATCTAGTAAATTCATCCAACATGGCTGTTGTGAAAACCATCAATCTAAAGAGTGTTTTTTTCTGGATGCGAGCAATCATGTTGTGTGACAAGTTTCATTTCTCTTGTAGGTTAGCAAGCAAAGATGAAGCTGATGCACTTAAAGGAGACAATTCTACCTTCTACGTGAATCCCATATACGATAAGAATCGACAAGGCAGTACAGCATCTGGAGGGAGCACCCCATCTTCGCATCCACGGACACAAGCGGGTCCTCATAGGCTGAGCAATGCTTCTGACAGTAAAACTGGTGTACTAGGTTCCCCTGCAAGAACACTTAACAAGCAACAACTGCGCTGTAACAGCATGGGCAACATTCCTCGTTCTAGTCATTCCAGCATGCAGAGAAGACACCCAAGCGCTGGAAATGTTGCTTCGAACAAAGACGTGTATCAGTATCCACAGCAACAGAGCCTTCTATACAATGCACCACAAATAAAAGCTGGAAATTACCAAGGTCAAGGCCAAGGCAATTACCAAGGTCAAGGTGGTTACCAAGGTCAGCCGAGAGGTCCAATAAATCAGTCGCCTGCCCGACAAGGCGTTGGACCGCACCCCAGTAAAAATCCCATGAATCAAAAAGTAAATGCACCTCAACAAGGCTCACCAACAAAAACACCGCAACGCAATCGCCCTTCAGGACCGGGTGGCTCAACCTCGTATCCGGCCCCTGGACACCAGGGGAGAAGGGGTAACCGACCAAACAGCCCGTATGAATACGGTTCAACAGAGAAAGACTCATTAATGGATGGTCAAAGATACCCAGGGAGTAACGATCCAAATACTATACGCCACCATGGAAACGCTCCAGGAGAAATTGGCATTACAGTCAACCCTGCCGCCAATTCACAAGTTGGTCCCATGCAATATCGTAGTAATGGACCAATGCCTTCAAGAGAGGGACAACAGCCATTTGATCCCGCGGGTAACCACATCAAACAATTAGACGACGTTTCGGGATATGGTAAGATCAGAAGCAAACAACCAGCGGACACCCTATCTCCTCTTGATGTAACACATGCTGATTCAAGATTTCTAGGAGCTCCAAATTCTGATTCACATAGTTCTAGGGTAGTTGAGGGTAGTAGACCTCAAATACAGTACCCTGCCCCCCCGGATCCGGGAAGCGACAGTTCAGAGGATGATTTATATAGCATTGTTGCTAAAGGCAACTATGATTCTGTCATTAACGATCCACTCAACGTGCAACAAGTGTTTAGACCCGAGAGGAAAAAGCATAGAAATCCTCCAGGGAATACTAGTAGAACATCCTCTAGAAATTATGTGAGCGGACGGGATACATCGGTTTGAACCATGCAAGTATAATACGACTCATGGCGAGGTATTCTCGTCAAGAAGAACCTTGTCTCAACATTAATTCGAAGGCGTTTCTCGCAACAATTTCATTTCCCAAGAATTTACCTAACGTTTACACGACTTTGGCGTGTGGAAGTTTTTATAATTAATACTTTTGTTTGCAAAACATACAGCGCGTAATTTGGAATATCATTTGAATCGTCTTGTTCCCAGGACTCTCTCTTTATATAAAACGAGAGAAGAGCATGGGCAAAGGTCTTTAACAGCAAGATAGACAAATATTTCATTTCTAATTAGATTCATCTGGGGCGGCAGGCTGTGTTTCCATCTTTGCTTTTTAACCAAACAATTAGAACGAGAAGGCACCAAAACAAAACAAAAAAGTCAATCATTTTCGCTCTCTGACGTCAGAGTTTTCCGATGGGCAGGGGAACGAGTCTTGATTTGACTATTCGAGTTGTGCCGCATTTAACGGGACTTGTAACATATCCATTTGTTTTCTTGTTTTAGAGACAAAACACAACGGTATACGAAGCGAAGCGGACCTCCCTCCCTCGGACGGCGACACAGCCGACCGCCAGATGACATTTAGAATGTCTTTCTCTAAGAAGATGGAGCAATTCCAGCAAACTCTGTTTAGCAAATAACACAGAACAGATACATGAACTGTTAGTATTGATTACTAATCATGGTACTGACCCGCTAACGCACGGCAAGACGGCTGTCAGCTAGCCAGGAGTGATGGATTATAAACTAATACCAATAACAAATAAATAGGATAAATTAATGCTTAGAAGTGAGTGCTGAGCAATGTCAATGCTAATCAACTAAAAGTTTAACAAACAGAGCTTGTATAGTTTCTGATATTCGTTCATAGTAGTATAAAAGTGATCGTGCGGTTGGAAGGAGTTTTTAAGGATTAAAGTAGTATTAATAAAAAACGTGTGAGCACAGGAAACGGCAATGCTATCGATAACCAAGATTACACCGATAGAGTGTGTTCACAGCAGCCATGTTGGTGCCAGACAAAATGCAACATTTTTGCATGACAAGAAAACTTATTCAGTTCCCAAGGGAAAAAATGTCTTTTGTTTAACCAACCAACATGGCAGCCATGAACACACTCTATTGAATTTCTCAGTTTCATAAATAAAACTAATATAGAAAGCTTTTCAGTCTTTATTGGTTGCTTGTTTCCTTGTCTACGATACTCGTTTTGCAATACATTATATCGCTATTTTACATTATTTTCCTTGATTCAGTTATCGTAACTATTTATGTCATTATCAATATCTTTGGGTTCCGTTGCCGTGTCTATTGCATTATCTTCATTTCCAGTGACGTCATGTTCCGCGTCTTCATTCTCCTTCACGGCGTTTCTTTCTCCATCAGTCACGTCAGTTTCAGCCATCTTCCCTTCAGTATGTGTTACATTACTTTCACTGTCATTCAAATTTGGTTCTATGTGTGCTGTGTTATTTTCGTTACTGTTAAGTGCCAATGCGTTACTGTCACTATCATTGATTTTCGGTTCTATGTGTGTTGTGTTATTTTCGTTACCAATCAAATTCAGTTCAGTGTAAGTTGCCTTATTTTCGTTACCAATCACATCCGGATCAGTACGAGTTGCGTTACTGTCACCATCATTCATATTAGGTTCAGTTTGTGTTTTGTTATTTTCGTTCCCATTTTCCTTGGTTTCAGTACTTCTTGAAGACACTTCTATTCTTTTGCCCGTCATGTTAGGACCAGAGAATATAAAGTATGTTCCCATGAATAAGCCCTCAAGAGTGTTCCTGCCATGTGTTCTACATCCTGCTGGAGCACCAACCAGATTGATGGTTCCTTGAGCGAGGTGTAGTGCTAGAAATGAGATACAGTGCCTCAGAAGTGCACTCAAATGGTTGTTTTCTTGGCCTAAATAACAAGAATATTTATCAGTTTTATTGGCCTAAAGCTTCTTGTATTCCGACTCAGAGAATATTACATCAGTTTTCCCAGTAGAATTACGACTACACTGTAGCTGTTTTAAAGGGTACTACAAGGAGTACAAATGTATTTTAGGTATCCTACTGCCCTTGGTCACAATCAGCCCAAGTAAGATACTCTTCGTCACTTGTTTGGACTTCCTTTGGATTACATATTACACCTTTTGCTGTTCATTAACCTCGAAGGAATATCCCGGAGTAGTCAATCGATATTGATTTTGCCGATCGATAAATCGATAACAATCGATACCGCTGATTTGATTGATATCGATTGTATCGATCAATCGTTAAAAATCTAACTCACACTAAATTTTTGTATCAATTTTTATCGATTGATTGATTATATACATATCGATTTTTTCGTTTCGTTATGTTCTTGAACAATTTCTATCGATGATCGTACGAGGGTCGTGTGGCTACGGATTTACACCACCGGCAATTACTCTTTCGTAACCATAGCTTGACACAAACTAGGAGTTTGTTATAGTGATCAGACAGCAAAAGTACTTGGGTAATTAGCTGCCTGATCTACATATTATTACTTGTGAATTAATAGTTATTAAATCTATTGCACTATCATCGATATTTTCGAATACTTTCCGTGAAATAAAGCTGATTATGTGATTGTACTCATTATTGGATCGAATTAAAGCTGTCAAATCTTGATCGATAAAAATCGATTAAATCGATAAAAATCGAACTCTCACCAATTTTTTTATCGATTTTAAACGATTTCCCATAAAAATCGATACAAATCAGCTGATTTCTATCGATTTTTATCGATTGACTACTCCGGGGGAATATTCATTGATGCGAAGGAGCATTGTCATTAGAGCGAACAGGCATCAAGAGTGCGATGGAACGTTCATTAAGAAATTTAGCATTGAATTTGACAATCATTGAATATGTTTGCGTGGGTTCATTAACGTTTTCAAAACTTTCATTAGCGTTTTGGTGCAGACAATAAACCACAACATACATTCAATTCAGTGTTTTGGACATTCATTTACGAAATACAATATAAGTATATTTTCATATTCATGATTGTCAAATTCAATGCTAAATTTCTTAATGAACTTTCCATAGCACTCTTGGGACTCCGTTCGCCATATTGTATGCCATTATATTGTATGCCTGTTTGCTCTAATGACAATGCTTCTTCGCTTCAATGAATATCCCCTCGCGGTTAATGAACAAAAGGTGTAGTGAAACCGTTCACTGTTCTTTGTATAGTTAATATTAACTAAATTTCCATACAGCTTTTTCAATGTTTTTTTTGCAAAAACCCTAATTTTTCTAGCTTTTCGATACTACTTGAAATTTGGTTCTCTGAATTTTAAAGAGGTCTATAGAGAGCGATCTAGCTGAGAAGAACAGAATCTTGAATCTTCCAAACTGCCCGGTTAGTTTTTTTACACTAAACGTAAGATTGTTCCGGGCTGTCAGGCACAGCGGACTTTACCCTGCTGGCAGTCTCGTTTTAATATTTTTTTTCTCGCTCGAGAGAAATTCAAAGGGCTCTGCCAGCAGAGTAAGCAGACTCCTTATTAATTCTTCTTCTTCAGACAACAAATTCCAAGTGTTACATTATAAATACTGACTTAAACTATAATATATTTAGCAAATTCTATTAACATCACCTGGTATAATAAAGAAGTGATCTCCCAGGCACCACAAGCCACTCCAAACATTTACAGCAGCAAATCCAAGTACATACACGAATACATGTTCCAAGAACGCTTTGATCAAGTATGGCCACGACAGAGAATTCCCAGTTAATTTTCTCTCTAATGGTTGATTTATTATAAAACAAAACAAACTAACAACATAACCAAAACTAGTTGTCGCTACACAGGTATATAAGCCGGTACCAACTGACATGTTTGCTACATAAATAGCCAGGTTCCACGTTCCTCTCCAGTAGCACACTATAGCTGTACTTATTATGAACACCGTCACAAAGTGGCTAATAAATATCTGAATTGATTTATTTTTTATACAGTTTATTAACGGTATTGCATCGAAATTAAATGAGGTGGATGGACTGGTTGTTTGATCTTTAAGGAGGTAACCAGGACAAAACACGATAGAACTGGTTGTTCTTGTTGCAGTAAGAAAGATAAAAGCCATACCATGAGAAACCAGAAACACTGTTAATGTGACACCAGCGAACATATCCATCAACATCCATACCCCTCGCCAGAAAGATATAGTTGATAATGATATTAAGTATATACAGATTTTCCAAGCGATTTGTAAATAAACTTTGTTGTAAATTGACAGTTTCTCTACCATCCATCCTTGTGTGCCTAAAATAAAGTGGCTAAATATTACTCCTAGACCCGTACTTAGTAACGCGCTATCAAGAATCGAGCCAGGAAGAATATAGAAATCCATGAGCATCCATGTACCTTGCCAGTAATATATCACCAACGGCGAAATAAAGGTACAAACAATCAAATAATCCAAAAGACGAAGGAAAATATTCTGAATCTTGGAACATGCCACCATATTCTTGGGCTAATTTGAGTTAAAATATGCGAGACAGCTGCTATTGATGTCTATTGATAATCTCAATGGTACACATGGCAGACTCGTGACTGCGAATCGTAACGTTATGATTCTTGACCAACTGGTTTATTCTTTTGATTGATGGATGTGTTTACTTCTTAAACGCAGTTGAAGAAGATCAGGAGCTATAGAAGTTATGAAAACCCAGTTCTGATCGAACCACCGCAGAAGAGCCAGACTTCCCTCAATAAATCTCTGGACACGGTAACTTGATAGAGTAGAATGTTTGATGTACGTCGACGAGAAAGGGTTAAAACTGGGGTCATGAAAATAACTGTAGAAAGATTCGAGTCCATATGATATGACACAAATTATTATCAGTAATAACGAATGGTAGTCGATTCATCTTACCCCTGGAAACTCGTAAACTATGGATCAAGTCGAATCCCTCAAGCTGTCGGCAGCGGCTTGTTAAGCATTTATGAAAATGAAAATAAGGAAACGAAAAGCTTATCAAACACAGGGAGCCCAATATTAAAGGTAAACATTGGTGTTTGCAAAATGTCAAGTATAGTGGAAATTTGTGAGAGTAATTCCTGCGCTTGAATCAATCAGTTTCCTTTAGAATTTGTCAATAAAACGTTCGTATAAATACAGAAAACAAATTACAAAAGTGTTAAAATGCACACGAAAACGTTCCTATCCCGTATATAGGATAACATCAGCAGAATGGGCCTAAATGGACCCAGAAGTTCCTTGATGGACCACCATGCGTCCATTACTCTCAAAATGGGCCTTTATCGTTAATGTAAAAAGTGCTTAAAAAGGCCTTAATGTACATGAAAGACCCCTTAGGGGCCAGCGAGTGCCTGTTATGTCTTTATTATCGACGTCTAGTAGAAGAACTGGCTCTCTGGAACTGATCCTCGATGGGTAACAGGGACATGAATAAGATACAGCCGCACGAACAGGGTCATTCACTGACACTTTGTCTCCTTGAGGAACAACAGTAATATGGACCACAGGTAAAGGTGTGGGACCATATTTTGGTGGTGCATCTAGTAAATCTCCAGTTGTTTTCTCCCAGGCACAGCCCCACAGAAAAACGCCATAAACAAATATGCCCTCTAGAGGAGGTTCACGGAGCTGGAAACAAACCCAAAGACCACCAATGAAACGGGTTGATACATAAAGAGATATATACAATATATACATAGATATATATATATACAATATATACAAACATAGATAACTCACGTGATCCTTATCTCGACCAGTGATTTCAGTCTGGAAGACATACGGTTCGTTACCAGATGCTTTGCCCTCAAAGTGTCGAACTGTTTCCTGAAATACGCAACATGCAATCGATTTAGAAATAAAGTGAGTTCTTTTTGCTGAGAGTCACTTAAGGATGTAGTATTCTGTACCTGTTTAATGACGGACAGAAGACGTCGGGGGTTAAAAAATGCACCCAACCAGTAAGCAGGCACTCGATCCCGACCCTGGAAAAACAAAACAAAAAACAACAAAATGATTATTAGTGAATTAGAAGTACATTTACTCCGGGCGCAGTATCCCCGTCCCCTCCCCTCACAGTACCTGGCTACAGTTTTCCCGTTCCCTCCCCTCATAGTACTTTGGTACAGTATTCCCGTCCCCTACCCTCACAGTACCTGGCTACAGTTTTCCCGTCCCCTCCCCTCCTATCACAGTACCTGTACGACTATGCGATCTATGTGTGAGAATCTGCTGGATAAATCAGTAAACCAAGAGGCGATGCTCCATGTGGGTGGAGGAGAGACTTCTCCACTCAGCTCGATCCACTTTGCAGGTATTCTAGAGTGATACAGATCATCAGATGCTTGTAGAAGCTCTTCAGTTAGTCTGTCTCCATAGATATCATCATCTGTTGCGACTTTGATGGCCTACAAGATAACATAAATATGTTTTAATGTATGATAAAGGAAACAAAGATGCGAGGAGAGTGCTGTAATGTCTTACCATCAGTGTCTCTCGTACTGCCACCAGCAGTCTTAACATACAGTCCACTTCAGCCAGTATAAATAGATTGAATGGGTTAGCACCCCCAGCTTTTTTCATGCGTTCATATACACTCTCCTAAGCAAAAGAAACGTATGGTTACAGTTTGATTGAGTGTCCAGGAACAGACCACATGACTGGAATCGAAAGAACATCTTACCCTATTCCAGGCTTTTGGTAACTTGGATAACATAGTAACACACAGCTCGTTTAGCTCTACTTCTTTACGGCTCCTCATCGCCACAATACTGGCACTAGCAAATACACCAGCCTCCGCCAAACACAATGCGCCAGCTCCAATAGCCTGGGAACTAGAGCTCTGAAGTACTACCCCGGATGTTGGTGTGAGGGATGAGGGATCACTGACCGCGTGTGTTAGGCTATCTGAAGCAGCCATATGGTCAAGTAAAAGATTAAGTCGAGTGAATACGTACTGATGATCTGGTAGATGGGTCTGTGGGTAACAAACAAGTTATCAGCCACTGAAATTAGCGTTTCAGGTGGAGGAAAAACTGGGTCGAGTTGGCATTGCAATGCACTCTGGGACTGTTTTGAGGGACAAAATATACGCCATCTTGGAAATTTGTCGTCTAAAACATTCCCATAATGCGTTGCGATGTCAACTCAACTCAGTTTTTCCCTTGACCTCTGAATGGCTAATATCCATGGTGGATGGATTTGCCAGTGACTATTAACGATATAACCGTTACCTCTAGAGAAGAATGGATTCCACAAGCTTCAGGTATTTCTAATATATCAGTCGATACTGACTCCATAGCTGATAGGATAGTACTTGCACGTATATGACTACCAAATAACGCTTGTGGTAATTTGTACTTGGCTGGCAATCGAAACATAAGGGATATTTTTTAGAAAGAGGGACGAGAATAATAGGGTCTAATAATAAATATATGATCAAGATTATCAATGTTAGTCCTTACTCTTTGCTGCTTCAAACTCTCTCTTAACAGCTGCAGGGCTGATCCAGTAATCGATGATAGAACTGAGTGCCTGACGGTCGAACTCATCACTTACGCTACTACCGTACACCACCTGGTAATGTAAAACAAATGTATTATATTACCAACACTTCGCTGTCAATCATTCTGCATGCATTATTTATAATAATCACTGTATTACGTTACCTCAGCCAGCATGTAACGCAATCCATTCCACTGTATGCTTCTTGTGTTTCCTCCAGCAGCAGATAAGTCAGCGGTATCTTGGAATTCTCTGACAGCCAGATCAAGGGCTTGCTACACGACATGAAGCAAATACAAGTAATCAATCAATCAAGTAATCATCACAATTACTCATCAATAAACAAGAGTGTTCCATCTTACCCATAATTCTCCTGTTCCAATGTTGCGTAAATCCTCGGGGTTGTTCCAGCCCACATGTTTAAACCGTGATCTTAGTCTAACAGCACTGTGTACCATACAGATATTATGCAGCACAGCAGGCCATTCAGCACGGTTACTCACACGTAACAAATCGTTATCAACCCAAGTCATGGACCGTAGTAAACTGTCTTTAGTACTCTATCAAATACATACATGTAAATGTTAGTGTTGCTGGGAAGATGGTTGAGTACCTAATATCATGGATACCATACCTGTGGTGAATCAGCTACTACTTTGACAGCTGTCTGGAGTAGAGAGAATGGTATGTCTGGCCTGGGTTGGATAGACACCCACAACCTGAACTCTGGATCTACTGTCTTGGTTTCCTGCATGAAGGAGTCTAGCGCGCTCAACAGACGAGGAGTGTTATGAGCATTATGTAGAAGAACCCAGCTTCCCTGTAACAGACAGACAGACAGACAGACAAGTGATATAACACACTGAATGGTGTGTCAGTACCAGCAACACATGACTAACCTGAACCATTGCTTTGTGGATTAGTTTTCTAGCCATACGTTCTTCATTACTACCAACATTAGTGAGTCCAACAACATGCAGTTCGACCTATTACATAAGTATAAGTTCATTATGCGTAAATAAACCGACTGACAGACCTTAAGGTGGCTGCCTACTTTTGAACGTTCGATTTGAGCCCACGATGTGCGCGCGCTCAAAAACCGCTGAAAAATCTACAAGATTTTATTGAAGAACCATACGCGTTTTGAGCTTCAACAGGGCAAAACCCTCAAATTTTGCACGGGACTCTATATTTTTTTATAGCTCATTCGAAAAAACTCCTAAAAATCTAGGTTATATCAAAATTTTAGGAAAAGTTTAAATCAGGAACACGTGAAAAAATAGATTTTTGTAGGGATTTTTGTTCGACTTTATGAGATTTTTTAAGAGCACCGAAAGTACAAAATATGACAAATCAATGTTTCTCTCTTTCTTTTTGTCGAAAATTTCCTGGTATTATTGTAGAAGGATTGACTAGCCTTCGTTCGTGCAATCATATAGTCTGCAAATAACTATTATCTTATGAATCTTAATTTTTTTCTTATCACTTCCGGTGGCGCAATTTTTACTCCAAAAGCTCGTGCGTAGGCTTCCATTAAATGCTGATTATTTCAAAAACAAGCTCGGGACACCCTATTTTTCTTTCCAGATTTGGAATCAGCATTAAATTTCAATTCGGAAAATCGAAGTTTTAAAAAAAGCTTAAATCAATTTCCAAAAGTAGGCAGTCACCTTAAACAGATAGACAGACAGACAGACAGACAGACAGACAGACAGACAGACAGACAGACGGAAGGACGGACCGGAAAACAGGCAGGCAGGGCTAGGAAAAGCAAAAAGACGGATAGACAAACTGTCAGATCTAAAAGATTGAGAAACCTGTTTCCTTTGAGCAGCATCTATCACGACTCTCTCCACCATGTTCGCTTCTTGCGTATACAGCAATACAATTGGCCTGCGGCAATCACTTTGACGATAGGCTGCGGGAAGGTCCATGGGAAGTTCCCCTGTGTATCTAAACACATCAAAGTGTATTATCAATATTGGTGTATTGGTGTCAGTGTAGTGGTATGGTATACTGT